ATCAAGGTGCTCGAGCTCGTCTAGTGCTGCACCTCCACACCTTCACCTCTACCACCGTCAGCACTAGTCTCCCTCCGACTCGCAGAGATCTGTGTGAAACTTGCAGGGGGATCGGAAAAAAAATTGTATTATTGTGCCAAATAGAAACCTATAGCTGTCCACCCGCTAAATTGAGTTGTTAGTGTTGTGAAATTTTACTCTAAAAAATACAAAAATTCAAGATAAAAAGATTTAGTGAACGGTAAGAGAACAACATCTGTCTACCCACAAAATAGATGCAAGATGTTAGATTTCTTCTATCTTTAAATAAGTGTCCAAGTGTATGTGTTAGTTGATATCTTCGTGGATGTCAGTACAGTCAGCGTCATATAGATCGTCACAGACAAGATATGCAAATATATAGGTACATCAAAAGTAATCAATTATATCGGTACAACAAAAGTCCTCAAAATAATAGATACATTCACCCTGCTCAAAAACATCGGTACATACACAGCGTCAAATATATGAGTACATGCAAGATGCTCATAAATATCGTAGCAGCCACAGCGTCATAAGTAACGAAGCAGTCAAGGTGCGCAAAAATATCGGTACATTTGACAAAATTGAACTCTATCTCTATATACTTGTGATACAATTTGGAATAAACTACTTCTGTTACATTCATTTGACACTTTGCATCAAACCATTTTTCAAAATTTACTAAAAGTGTTCGAAGCGGATGACAGATATTAGGTAGATAAAACCAACATCAAATTTAAGTTTGTCATCACATATGCTAGTTTGGTCTCGTGGCCTTACCGTTCGCCGCCGTTGGTACGTAAGTTCGGCGGTTCAAATCCCAAGCAACTATTTTTTTTTATATTTAAACTTTTTAATTTTAATATCGAAGCACATGTAATTAAACTCTATCGCCGTAGTTATTAGGTACTTTTTGATATTGCCTTGGACTAATGAGTTTGACCGTTAAAGTACTTTTCTATTTCAAACCAAAATGAAGGAGATAAAGCGATGCTATTGGCATGTAATTTGTTTATTACTTATGTTTGTTAAACTTGTACCGGTAAAAATAACACTTTTACTTTTACCTTTTACTGATACTGATTATATTTAAGAAACAAAGAAAAAAAACTGAATGTCAATATCCAAACTACATCAATTTTTTTGTCGATTGCAATAAACATTCCAGTGTGCGTGGGCGCGCACACATATGTAGATAACACTTATACGTATAGTTTCCGCGCGTACCATTCTTAAAACCCGCAAAGACAATCCACGCTCCGCCCACTCACTTCACCCGCGATGGTCTAACCTAATTGTTGTTAACTTTATTTAAATTTCTTTCTACCCGACAGCGAAAATTATAAAAAAAAATTGTGGAGCAAAATTTTACATTACCAAATTTTTACTGGTTATGAAAAAATAACCCCGTGATTGATAAATTGAAAAAAAAGTAGCCTGAGATTCGAACCGGTAAACTTACATATTACGGCAAACATATTAGAATACTGCGCCAAACTAGTATATATTGTGACAAGGCAAAATTTGATATTAGTTATTACGTATCCGTCATATTCGGCGTGACAAACTTTTATAATATATTTAAGCGTTATGACAGGAGAAGAAAAATATTGGGTTGCCCAGTAAGTTCGTGCCGCTTTATAAGGAAAATTGAAACCCTGTTCTTTTAAATTTTTGGAAATGTTTTTAAATTATGTTGGTACGACTCTATACCTAAAACATCTTTTATTTTTGGCTAAAATTTTAAAAATTAGTTTTTATCTCAACCAATGAAATGAAATTATTCACAATATAGAAATTTTTGTGGCGTTTGATAATGGTGGAAATCCGAAAATGAATCCATTTCAGCTGCAGTCTATTGTAAGCTTTATATCGAAAATCAGAACGAACTTTCCGGACAACCTATAATGTTAATACAAAGTGTCAAATGAATGTAACAGAAGTAGTTTATTCCAAATTGTATCACAAGTATATAGAGATAGAGTTCAATTTTGTCAAATGTACCGATATTTTTGCGCACCTTGACTGCTTCGTTACTTATGACGCTGTGGCTGCTACGATATTTATGAGCATCTTGCATGTACTCATATATTTGACGCTGTGTATGTACCGATGTATTTGAGCAGGGTGAATGTATCTATTATTTTGAGGACTTTTGTTGTACCGATATATTTGATTACTTTTGATGTACCTATATATTTGCATATCTTGTCTGTGACGATCTATATGACGCTGACTGTACATAAGTAGAAGTGTTGCCAGCTTAAAAGAGAAGTTGGGTTGCCAGACTAACTGTTTATTCTAGAAAAAGCAATAAACTTGTAAATAAAGCGTAAGTGTAAAGTGTTGCTCACAGTTATCTTGTAAATAAACCTTTACCCCTCTATAAGTTTTATTTTGTCTTTATCTATATTAATCAAATTAGAATGTCTCTGTTTTAAATAACAAAAATTTGCGCCGATTTAAAAGACTTTAACTGGAAGGTAGCCAACATCTTTTAGCTTTAATTTTTTTTATTATTTATTCCACGTTACTATAGTTGTGATTTTTCGTAGTTTTTACACATCTGCTGGCGCTGTTTCTGCTACGCCCTAACAGATGGCGCTGCACCGAGATCGTGTTTGTCTGAACACGATGTTGAGTTACTTGTCACGCCGCATATATTCAACTGCAGGCGTTCTTTACATGAGTCCCACGAAAATCGGATAAAGTCACGTAGGAAACGAATATCATCATATAGCAATGAAAAAATTAAAACGACCACACAATTTAAATACACACATTTATTTAAAAAAACTATTAGTTCTAAAGTAGCACCATTATAGTTAACACCTTTATAGACAGGGAAACATAAAGCTCAGAAACCAGTACAACTTGCGTCGTCTTAACTAACAACACTTAGCGCGGACTCCGTCCACAGTGGTGGAGCCCGCTTTAACAACTTCGCACGAATAGTCCCGGCTGGCCCGGTGAAATACCACGACCACACAGAAGACAGGCGTCAAGTGGAAGCTATTCCAAGTACAGTCTGATGAGTGTGCGTCCCGGAGGACTAATTTAGTCACCCTTCCCACCCTTTTTTCTTATAAGGAAAGGATGGGAAGTGGACTTTCCGGATGAAAGGATGCATGGAAATGTTTTCTTTCTGTGCATCCTCTCCTCCGTCGATTAAAGGAAGGCAATGTATCGATTGCGTATGTCTATGGGCAACGGTCACTTCGCTATTTCAGCGATATCAGGTGGCCGCTCGCTCGTTTGCCACCTTATGATATAAAAGAAAATACACTGCTGAATCGTCGACGTGTCGTCTATTCGGTAATGGCTTTTCTCACGATGATATTAGCGATGCGAGGTTGCGAGCGACCGGTGATGATGTGAAAATACAATGTCGACGACGCGCGCTGTGTATACGAATTTGTTTGACATTGCATGACGTGTCACTGAGCGTCTAAAATCACCGGGTTTCAAATATTTCCGTCGCCTTTTTGTATAATAAGGCGGTGGCGGCGAGCCTTGTGTACGAAGGGGACCTTATGATCATTTAATAATAATGACATAAAAAACGAAACATTAAATGATAGAATCAGACAAGAAAACTTTTACAAAAGATAAGATACAAGTACATTTTTCAAACATATTATTCAGCAAAAATCATTAAAATTATAAGTTATTACGTATAGGCTTAAACTTTTACAATTACTAATTTACAAAACGTTATACAAATAAAAAAACGTAAAAATGAGCGTAAGTCCAAAATCCTTTTTTTTTATAAAAATAATTTATTTTTAATTGTCTCCTCCGACAACAAAGTCGCGGATCCTTAGCTACTGTTCATATAAAATAAATGCAATGAAAAGTATAAAAGACATCAAAAATATTTCTAGACTTACATAACTAACAAAAATATATCAAAAAGGTAACCTTAAAATGTTTCAGAAGTCATGGTTATTACTTTAAATAGAACCGACAAATGATACCGTTTTCTAACAGATTTACCATCAGCCAACAGACATGGAGTCATCATGAGCACATCTTGCCTCCACGTACCTGTTTCGTGACTGAAGTGGAAACATTCACCTGTATAAATGGCCTGGCTATAAGACGTAGTATTTTTGCGGTGATGGTTGAGGTTTGTGACGGTTGTCTGGATTATAACTAATAATATAGATATAATGAACCGTCACGTAACATCAACGGGCGCGTTTAAATCGTTACGAAGGTAAAGCTGCCGCCAATCCATTTATAGAGAGGAGTGAGGGGAAGCCAGGTCACCTGGGGGAGAAGGTGCAGAGCAGCAGGCGGCCGTCCCGCTCCAGCAGCACGCAGGAGCCCGCCTCGCTCTCGAAGCGCAGCGAGCGCGCGTCCCCGTCCTGCGTCAGCGTTACCGACCACCTCGTGGCGGAGCTGCGGATGGTCTCGTTGGCGAGTCTCACGTACGCGGCGAGGGGCTCCGTGGGGTGCTTGAAGATGTGGTACGCGGCCGACACCGCGCTGCCGAACCTCACGCGCACCCCCCGCGCCGCCGACACCAGCTCCGCGTCCCCGCACCCCGCCCGCACCTCCGCCGCGCCCACCATGTCCTCGCGCTGCACCACCTCCAGTAGCTCGCCCAGCTTCTGCCGCATCGCGCTCGTGTCCCGGAACACCGCCTCGCTCGCTTTACTTCCTGTTGTGTTCATAATATTATACTTTACACAGATCTAAACGTTACATCTATCAGTTTTACTCTTTGGAGATCTGGAAGAGATTCCAAGATCGTCTTAAAAATAATTAAATCGGGAAAGGAAAAATTTACGCGTTCGCACATTACTTTGAAGAATTATATAAAACAGTCAGAACTAGACGTACTGGTCCACTCGGCCTTCCTGACGTTTTTGGGCAGCGTGAGGGTGCCGTCGCGCAGCCGCCGCTCCACCGCCAGCTTCTCCGTCTCCACGTACTTGACGACGAACTCGCAGTAGGCGACCAACTCGCCCACGTTGCGCGGCGCCATCTCCCTCGCGAAGGCCAGCATGCGCTCCATGTATGGCGCCGCCTTGTACGTGTCCACGGTTGCACGGAACGTGTACAGGCGGTCGCGCTCGTGCGCCAGCAGCCCCTCGCCGGCCAGCAGGCGCAGCAGCGCGGGGCTGCGAGCGGCCTGCTCGCGCGCCCAAGCCACGCTCTCCGCGCGGTGCACCTCCAGCCGCAGCCGGTGGCGCTGCACCGCGAGTCGCACCAGCTCGGGGGGCAGCCCTTCGACGGTGACGCCCGCCCGCAGCGCGCCCACCAGCACGAATATGCGCCGGCACTCCTCCGCCGGCATAGCCTGCAGCCGGTAGATGCTCACGTGCAGCTGCCCGTTGAGAGAGACCACCGCGCGCCCGCTGCTCACGATGCGCGTCACCGGGCACGCCGTGAAGAGGCCGCTGCTCTCGAGGGTGAGCAGCACGGGCATGGCGGTCCGCCAGTGCCGGCTCGTCGGCGCGTCCATGCGGCTCAGGTGCTCGCCGATGAAGCGCACCAGCGGCTGCGACAGGTGCGGCAGCTGCGGGATGCTGATCGGCGGCGCCGTGCCCAGCACCAGCTGCCCCTCCTGGATCGACACCTCGGCGCCGCCCGGCAGGTTCATCTGGCTGTAGCGCCGCCAGAAGTCGATGACGCCCTCGGTGGCCTGGCGCGCGTTCACGTTGTAGCGGCTGGCGACGCGGTCCAGCCCCGTGATCAGGTTCATGTCGTCGTTCACGAAGCGCCGGAAGCTCTCGAACACCTCGGTCTGGTCCGGGCGCAGGTTGGTTACGATGTCGAAGTAGTGCTGCCGCACGTTGCCCGGCAGCCGGCTGAGAAAGTCGAACGAGTAGGTCTGCCCGCCGGGCAGGATCAGATTGCCCCGGCCGTCGAACTGCAGGTTGCCGTGGGAGCCAGCGTCGAGCAGGATCTGCGAGAAGCTGCGGACGGAGATGTTGTGTTCTCGCGCCGCCCGATAGAATTCGCGCAGCAGCTGCGCGTCGTCGCCGAAGCGCACGCGCAGCTGGGTCAGCTCGGTGGCCTGGTCGCCGCTCAGCTCGCGACCGATGTGCGCGAAGGCAAAGTTCTCGGCGTCACGGATGATGGTGCCCGCCGTCTTATAGGTGAAGAGGCCCTTCGTCCAGAAGGCGATCGACGCGACGTGCATGAGAACGTCGGAAGCGGAAAGATCCTCGCTGTGGTTGCACAGAAACACTGTCGTGTCGAGGATGGCGAGCCCGCTCACGGCCACCGTGGTTCCGTTGGCCACGTTGACGAAAATCCTGAAGGCGTTGGATATGGTCTGGCCGCGCGCGGCGAGCGAAGCCAGTCGCATGGAGGCGCCCATCGCGCCGAAGCTGACCAGGTTGGCGGCGACGCCGAGCCACATCATGCGTGACTCCGCGTTCGTGAAGGGGTTGACGGTCTCGCCGTGCATGGCGCGGTCGGCGAGCTGCACAGTGGAGCGGCCGGTACCCCAGAGGGCCGTAGCCACGCCGGTCACCACCAGCGGCGCGGCCAGCCCGCCGCTTGCAAACAGCAGCCCGATGCCGGAACCGATGCCGGCCACCGCCGCAACCGTGTCGACGGCGCGCACGGCCTGGGCGCCGCTCCGCGCGGGCGGGGTCGAGGATATCAGGATGTGAGAGTAGTCGTAGCCGGGGCGCAGCTTGAGCTCGAGGTTGTGCGGGTAGCCCATCTTGCAGGGCGGCAGCTTGCTGTTATCGTACCAGTCGGAGACGGAGTCGTAGCTGCGGCCGACGTTGTCGACGTAGTACTTGCGGCCACTGTCCTTGTAGCGGCGGACGCGGAACAGCGGCACCTCGTACAGCTTGCCCTGGTAGTACAGCTCGATGGGCAGCACCGTGATGAAGTTCTTGTCGTCCCCGCCGCAACAGCTGCGGATCTGCGCGGCCACCACGTCGATGGCCTCGCGCGCGGTGCCCTCGTAGTAGACGAGGCGGTTATCGAGCGCGAGGCGCATCTCGGCGTCGGTCCAGCGCGCGGGGTCGCGGAAGGGTAGGCACATGGCCATGCCGATCGTATTGAGCAGGTCGGTGCCGCCCAGCAACTGCGGCACGTCGCCCTGGCAGCGCCCGCCGCGGTGCAGGTACCTGTCCACGTTCTCGATGGCCCTCGTCACCCAATCCGACTCCGAAACATCCATCTTGATGGCTTTCTAAACTCTACGAAATACGGCTTTGAATTGTCTTGAATTTATTATTTTAGAAGGTGGAATTACGACCACCACCAGTGCGAGTCGGGAGTGTTGGAGGGCACGTCGCCGGGGAAAAACTCGGGTCGGTGCCCGGTATTCAGCCACACGCGCAACTGTGCGTCCAGCTCCTCCAGCTCACCCAGCTCCTCGAGGTTCCTCAGCACCTTGTCGAAGGGGGAGCTGATGCCCTTGAACCCTCGCAGGAGGAACTCGACGCCTGAGCGTACCCTGCACACGTCCACCGCCGGCACCGCGCCCTCCAGGTCCACTCTCAAGTTAGGATAGATTGTGATGAAGCTCTGCAGCCAGTCCTGGTTACTCGTAACCTTGGCGACGATCTCCGTCACCTCAGGTTGGCCCCTGACCCTGGCGGCTTGCCAGCCGGCGCCGACGCCCAGATCGTGGAACTCCTTAAACAACCGCTCCCCCGCGCGGAACCAGTCAGTGATCAGTCTCCCCTTTATTTCTTTAGGCGCTTCTTCGAATTTAACAAGATGCTGCACGACGTTCTTCAGTTTCTGATTCATATCAGATCCCATCACCTGAAAGAATATTGCGTTTACAATGTTCGCCGTTCACCAACCAATGAATACGTAAACGTAGCAAAAGCTAAGCCGCCTCATTAAAATGATAACAAATACAAATACGTCCGTCTTAGTCTACTGGATATTACAGAGAGATAACAACCCTGCTATCACTAGGTTTGCACTGCAAGTGACAAGCTAAATTGCAATGGACAGATTGTTGACATTATACGTGCACATGTTAAATAATATTCACCTACATTTTTGTGATACATATGTGTGAAATTATTTTCCATAAATTTGCAATTTACGGTTCAATTCATTCACAATTGATAAAATACGAGAATAAGTATTTGCCCGCTTGCCGCTTCACCTCGCTCCTTGGAAATTCTGCGAACCTTATACACGAACGGACAAATAAATAAACATACATCTTGTAAACTTCTGGACGAGCGCATCGAATGCTACAAATAGATTCAACTCTTACAGATACAAACATTGTGTGCAAAATGTTTCATATCATTGTTTATTATCTATAAATTGTTGTAAAATTATTACACGCTTCAAAGTTAAGCACAATAATATAAACATAATTTAAATAAATTTATTATAAGTTTGCCAGCGCCAGGCATAAGTACTCCCAGCAGAACTACCTAACATACATTACTTTGGAACATTTCTCCAACAACAAAAAAGAGATCGCCGCAAAATTCTCACCCAAGACGCCGGAAATGCTAACCAGCTCTGACTAGAACTTCTTCAATGTAAATAACTTTGATCTAGACAAGTACAAAATGAACTTTATTACCCCATGAGTATTGTACCAAAAGAAAAAACTTGAATATAAAAATATGTTTTGAATATACATTGTTTCATTTGCATTTTGCAAACATTGACATGAGACGTGTATTGACAGCGCAGAGCTCAATTATTATTATAAAATCTACCTCACACATACATAATACCAATTATCAATACAAACGCTAGAAAAAACGATGTGAATTTCATCTTAGCAAATTGTATGAACTTTTATAGACATTGCAAGCTTGAATTCATACAAGTATGACTGTGGAAAACGAGCAAGAAGAGCTAACACTTTGCTAATTGAAAGTCTGTGATCTCTGTTTACCCTTCTAGGTTACAGCTGTAAGTTACATTTTTTTTTAAATATAAACTTTTATAAGTTTCTTAATAAAGTAATATAATATAAAAGTGCTTGTAATAATCCTGTAAGTGTCAGTTACAAGTTACGTATCCTCTTCAGATATGACTTCAAAGGAAGTGAATATGTTTTATTGAAATAAAGTCCTGATAAGATGCTCATAAGTAAATCTAATGCTATATAAATCTATAAAAAGGGATTCAATAGATAATGGTGTAGCCTTATCATAAGTTACACACAACTGATACCCAACCTTTATTTATTTACGGGGATGAATGCTTTATGTATACTCAGTGGGGCTCAGGGAAGACACCATAGTTATGTGCAATTCTCTCTCCTATAGGGAGCTTATCCACTAAACCCCTCTGTTCCCTCATGGACAAAACATGGGATGCTTGGGATCATCGGGATTTGCAACTGACACCCAACATAGAGATGTAGGCAGTGATCATAGACTTTCATTTGGCATGATCCTCACACATCTAAATTCATATATCTATAATTATTATACATGCACACTCATGTTTATAAAATTTAAAAAAAAAAACCAACAGATAAATACAGTTGGTGTCTAAGCGTAATTCGATTATATTACGTCAGAGGGCGCCACTAAAAAAGTAAAAAGTTACCGGCACACAGTGGCGCCGTGATATTTTATTTCTTTATTTTATCGAGTGTGTTTTGTTATTTTTTCAGTGTAAAAAACGAGCGAGTTGTAACAATGAACAGAGAATAGTGTTGTCTTAATTTACTTATATTTGTTAAATCGTAGTTTTGTATATATTGTGTTAATTTATAATTATAACTCTATAATAAACATTTAAGTGACGAGTATGATGATTTTATTTTGAACAGTTTGAATGTATATAACAAACAAATGATTATATTAAACTCAAAGTTACAAATGAAAAGGAAATAATTTCAGCGGAATCTATTTATAGATTTATACTGAGATATAATTAATTATTTAATTTAACTTTACATTAAACAAACATATATAAAAATTATAAATATTAACTTACAGAATTAAATATCTCACCAATTCAATGTTTTTGCTAACTTTGTAAGTGCTAACTGTACAACATTCAGTACTGGAGTGGTCCCATGTACTGACCAAAACACTATTTATAACTGATAACATATACATATGTAGTTGCTAGTTAGGTATGTAAGAGTACTGTAGGCTGCCTACAGTGCTTACTCATCAAATGCATACGTGACTTTAGTAACTGTATTTATGATTTAGTATACAGATATATGCATTGTAATTATACTTATAAAGTAACTACTAAGTGGCCAGTTCTATTGTTCTAAAACCGGCAGTTGAGCGCCACTAAATGTTTACGTTACAGGCTTAGAGAAATTAATGTATCCCATAAGATTTTTGTGATAGTTATTTGATTTAAATTAAGATTTGGACTATTTTGTTAATTAATTCAACTTTTAGGCAATAACAAAAAAAACCGTGACATTAATTTATCAGTACTTACGTATTTTTTTGATAAATGTTTATTTAACTTCTCTTCAATTTAGAGTATATATTAAAGTACAAAGTAAGGCACCTAACACTTTTAACCTTAAAAATATATTTGAAAAATCCGCGTTGCTCTTTATTAATTGTTTGTTGATAAAACGAGATTGACGACACAGCTGACAGTGACAGAATGTTTACATTTTAGAAGTTGACAATTTTTAAACGACCTGAAACCCGAAAAGAAGAATTCAATCATCACAATATTCTTCTTATGACTTTTTGCCGACTTCAAAAGCACACAAGAATCAATTAATCAATAAAAAATAATAGCAAAACAATTAACAAAGACATATTATGAATTATCCATCAAAGAGTTCACATTTTGTTCAGTTTTAAATTCTCGGCTTTAACCTTTACGCGTAGGATTATCTGTGCTTTAAATATGACGAAGTGACAGGGAACAGGTTCAGGATATGACATTGACAAATGTCAACGGCGCGGCGTCAAGCGCATAACATAATAAGAAAAGCATTTCAACAACATGAGCGGGAAAAGCATTACGCCCTTTTTATAACATAAAATACAAAATATTGTATATTTTAACGCTTTTAAGATGTCGTTTAGCTAGTCTATCAAAGTGTTATTTCAGGTCTTTAAGATGAGTTCAAAGTTTTACATTTACGGTGGCGGGCGTTGGCGGGAGATTGAGTTGGACACTGGCAATGTGTCGGGCTGGGGTCGTCCCAGCTTTGTGTACCTACATGACGGGAAGCTGGTGATGGCGAAGCGACGGCGGGTGCTGCGCGCGCTCAGGTCGCTGGCGGCTGGCCGTGCCTCCGCCGCCAAAGATAGCTTCGAGTTAAGGTCTGTTTCACAAATGCTAAGTTCGGTTAAATTATATTTACTCAGCAAGTTAGACTAATATAATAATTTTAATTTACTTAAAGTTAATTGTTAGTGACCTACATTCAACAGACCATTATTTAGCAAGATATTTTTGTATAACCTAATTTCATTTTATGTAATTCTGTCTGCACCTATATTTATTAAAAATAGTATTTTTGTTCCAGTGAATATGAACCTCCTCAAGTACCAAGTTTGAAAGACCGGAAGAAGTGTCATGTCCACCAACAGCAGACATTGATCAGATCTATTAATGATGATGATTGTACACGGTAAGTCATGTTGTTCTGAAATATTCCAGACTCCACTGTACAGTTTCAAAAAATATTCAAGATGGCAACATTTCAAAATTAAATGGAAATCACAGTGAAGCCAGTCACACATCCGTTTGGAGTAAAAAAAAACACGTAATACGTCACCTATGTGTTCTTCCGGACTATGTTCTACATTTATAATGTGTTGAGCTGTTCTGGAGATACCTTCAAACAAACCATCCATCTAAATATTCACATTTATAATTTTAGTAAGATAACTGCGTTTGTTTTAAAGCTACATAAATACTTGTTCAATTTCAGATGCAATGATGAAAGATTCAACAATGTATTGAAAGTGACCAGCAGTGTGGGCACACAGTGCACCTCCACTGTGGACGCCAGCAACCAAGTCTCCGCCACTATGATCTCTCCACAAGCTTGTTCTAACAATACAAATTCACTTAAAACATTACCATTAAGAAGAAAAGGAAAATTTATTAAAAGTAAATCAAAAAATGTAAATAAATGTAAACAAAGAGAAGATAGAGAACCTGCACAAACTGTTATAACCAAAGATCATACAAAAAGATTAGAAAAAACAGATAATTTAAAAAATAGAGAAGAATTGATGCAGAATACTAAGAAACATAGACAAGAAGTAAAAGAAATATTAATAGAAGATGATGTAGTTGAAATTCTACGACGGTACCTGAAGAAGAACAACTTGGGAGTTGATTCAGAGAGATATGATGTTGATGATGCATACAAAGAACATGTGTTTTATAAAATCAATCCACTGGTTGTTGTTGAACAATGTCCTCAGATAAAGAGGATGCTCCAGGGCAGCAGAACTGATGATGTCTCCGAGAAGGATTTCATGACCAGTCTCGGTCTGCAGACTAACGCGGAGCGAGCCTCAGCCAAGAGATACAGAAATCAAAGCACATCTTGTTCCTCAATGCAATCTTTACAAGATAATAACGAGAATGAATTACAGAATATCTCTTTCAGTTTACGTAAACGTACAAAACGTTTAAAAGGTTCAGAGTTTAAGAGATATAAATCTTGTGAGAAGAAGGACAAGCAGCTCAGTCCGCAGAAGATGAGAGAAGCTGTTTTAGTGAGCAGTAACAGTGACAGTGATTTCCAAGATTCACAATTATCACGCACATTGCATGTCCGGTGAGTGTGGCACTTTGTACCACTTATTGTACTCCGACCCGCCTATTGATGTTACGTGACAGTTAATTCTATCTATATTATTAGTTCCAAACCACTAACATCAGCACCAAAATAGCAAATATCAAATTAGCACAAAATACAACATCTTACAGCCAGTCTATTTATAGAAGTTGATGCTTTGTACTATAATATTTCACTGTTTACATTTGTTTCATAACATTCTATATTCCATTAATACTGTAGACATATTTTAGACAATGTTAAGTGTTATTGCAGGCCAAGAGTGAATGGGTTGCGTGTCACCGCATCACCTGTCAATGCAGCACCTGGTGACAGCGCAGTGAGTGTCAGCAGAGCGGCACGCGGGTACTCGCCGCTGGAGGACCAGGCGATCATATCGTGGGTGCAGCGCGACGGACGCGCTCACCTCGTCAACGGCAACCGAGTGTGGCGCCAGCTGCAGCCGCACCACGCCGCCACCACCGGCGTCTGTCAGTACTTCCTCCAACGTCTACCTCTGCTCCGTCACATACCTGCCAGTCATATTCATGTCACCTCAAATAGCTCCTCTGAAAAATATGTGTTTCTATGTTTTCTTCCTGATTATCTTTATGCCAAATATCAGCGAGATCCATTCAGCAGTTCTGGAGATACCTTCTAACAAAAGTCCATTCATCCAACCATCTAAACATTTTCATTTATAATATTAGTAAGATATATTAATAACTTTGTATGAGATGTGTTATAATAACATTGTGTGTATATATATGTCAGCGCGGACGTGGCACTCTCTGCGCAACCGTTATCTGCGCCATATCCTGCCCGCGCTCTCCACCCTCGCGCCCGCACCACTCGCCGTCCATCTGCGCGCTGCCGCCGCCACAGGTCGCACACACCACACATACACCACCCACCGCAAACACACCGCACATACACTGCACACACACCGCACATACACTGCACATACACCACCCACCGCAAACACACCGCACACACACTGCACATACACCGCACACACACTATACATATACTGCACATACACTGCACACACAGCACACACGCCGCTACACCACACACTGAATATAGACTATGTAATCAATTTCACTTTTATTGTACAGGTGAAATAAAGTACCGGAAACAGAAGAAACCTGCCAACAACTCAATATTCGCGATGCCCCGCGTACGTAGCGCCTTCGCCCCGCGACGCGCCCGTATCGCCTCCTCACTCAGCCCCTCGCCCCCACCCACTCACCCGCCCAGCCCACCACGCAGGGCTAAGGCCATCTCCTCGACAACGGTCAGTCCACCACGCAAGACCAGAGCCATCTCCTCGACAACGACAAGTCCTCAACGCAAGGCCAGGGCCATCGCCACAACGGCTAGTCCACCACGCAAGACCAGATCCATCTCCTCGACAACGACAAGTCCTCAACGCAAGGCCAGGGCCATCGCCACAACGGCTAGCCCACCACGCAAGACCAGAGCCATCACCTCGACAACGGCAAGTCCCCAACGCAAGGCTAGGGCCATCTCCACGACAGCGGCCAGTCCCCCATACACAGGCAAGCGCAGGGCCATGGCGAACTCTACGAGCACAGCCAGCAGCTCGCCCAGCCCCGTGCCCACCGGTAGCTCCACACCCACACAACTCCAGATCCAGGAAGTTCATACTGTCCCAGGCAAGTTTATTCTCTCTTCTCCCACAGCCAAGGCCATTCTCTGGACAATAATGCATGTTCCAAGACGTGGCTTAGGTCATAACAATTAGTTAAGAAGGAGTTAACAATCTAGTTTATCATAAACAGAAATTATTTAATCGTTTTTTTGGTAACCTGTATACTATATATTATTGTTTTGGTATATTTTACAGGGAGATCTAGACTTAGCAAACGTTACTCTGACCTGCGACGAATATTCCAAGACGTGGAGGAGTCGTCGGACGAGGCGCCGCGGGTGCTGCGCCCCCGGCCCTCGCAGGCGCCCCGGCCTTCGCAGGCGCCTCGGCCCTCGCAGGCGCCCCGGCGCTCCGTCATGCAGGACTCCGGACGCGCGCTGCGGCTGGAGCCCAAGAAGAGACGGCTCTATAACCCTGAAGTGATTTGATACAAAATATGTGTTGTGTGGAGTGACATTGTGCGGACTACATGTGGACTGCAACAAACATTTTACAGTCAAATTATATTTTATACCAAATCAAGACTAAAAATTATTAATTCAACATTATTTACTAGCCCTTGCTTCAGTTGAAAGCTTAAATAACACAACGGAAGCATGTCAAATGTGACACGTAGCGGCCATTATAATATTTCACTTTATTAATTATTTTGAGAAAATTCTTATATAAAGTGAAGTTAATATTTTAGAATTTGGGTAAATTTTGTCCATTGTTAAATGTTTGGATTGAAATGTTATACATACAAAAGTATCATCATATTTATTTCCTCAAATCAAGATATATTTTGATGTTGTAGAAATAATATAACATATATATTAGTTGAAGTGAAATTGTTAAATATTCATGGTTAATGTGATAACACTATTGAGAAGAGTCGGTGACGAAGTTGTTAAGCGCTGGATCAGACTGACATCTACAATATCCAGGTTCAATATCCAACATGTACCAATGTGTTCTTCTATTTAAATACAGATCTTCAGTTGGAATAAAGTATAAAATACTTTTTATATATTTTTTTGCTTAAGTTAGCAAAGATTTGGTTTCAAGAGGTTATGTACAAGTTGTGCTAATGTTGCATGTGTTTTCAGTATCATTGTAAGATGGAATAAATATTATAGCTTTGGTTATTTTGTAACATCTTGAATATGTAATTATTTTTTAATAAATTAAAATAAAAAAAATCCTACAACAATATGGACGTAATACTTTTTACAAAAACAAATACCCAAATCATTTTAGTAATGAAAATGGCTAGACATAGCAGTGTTGTGAATGAGCAGGGAGTAGGTCTTCTGCGGCATTTTATAAACAGAAGGTATGGGAGTTATGATTACAAGCAAGTTCTTTCTTTGTGCGCACACACACTGATAAATATATTGTAATCAACCAATTATTAATATTTGCATGTTTATTATATCTTAAATATAATCAGAATCAGCAACAGTTTATTTTTTTCTGTATAACAAAGTAGGTTAGTACAAAAATGTTTGTCAAATTGTATGTTTCTTGTTAATGGTGGAGGAATTCATCAGTGATATATACAAATGTATATAATGTTTACATGTTGTGTATATTATTTGTCGTGTTTTTTTCATTTTTGTAATGTTATGTTAGTTGGTTATATAAAGATATGGTTCTTAACACTTGCACTATTCAAACATTTGTGTAATATTGCTATACTTTGAATTAATTTAAATATAAAGCCTTAAAGGGTTGCGAAATATTCATTTATTTAAATATTTCGAGCAAGAAAATCTTCCAAATGTGAATTTAATTTAAAACTGATTTCCATAGGAATCAAGTAAGTGCTACAATTTTTAACAAGAATTTAATTTTTAAATTTATCTCAACAAATTAGGAAGCTTTTCCAAGTATATACAATATTTTCAAAAGTAAAGCTATGATGTAAGAGCGAAAAAAAGGATTTTTATATGGTTATAAATGTAGATTTTAAATAATTAATATGTTTGTCAAAATAAATAATAAATATGTTTGTCCAAAGATTTTCTTTTATCTTACTATCTTAATAAATATTTATTTATTTATTATAAATGCGAATGTTAAGACTTGGATGGATGGATGTTTGAAGTTATATCCGGAACGGCTGAATAGACATCTGAAATGTGGCATACATGATGAACACAGTCTGGAAAAACATAGGTTACTAATGTTTTTTTTTTTTAAATTCTGCGCAGACCGAGTAGAGGGCGGCTGTTAGTGCAATACCACATGTAAACATTAACCTCTATACATGGATAGGCTATATGCTATGGTACTTTGTGCTTATTTGATTTTCGTCATGTTGGCGCTGACGGTTGCTGTGAAAATCCGAACTAATTAAAAGTGATAGATAATATAACGGTCAGGAACTTAAAGGCGCGTTAGAGTCGCAACGAAGCATAGTTGTAATTTCCTGGCAATGAGTTATCCATTTTCAGAGATCAGTATTAAGCACCTGTATGTATACAAACATTTTACCATTCCTCACACTCTCTTTAAATACGACAACAAAATGTTTTTATTAAAATTGTTTTGGCAGTAGATTGCGAAATTGCCTTCATGATAATCGAAGAAATTTATTTTAAACATACTTCATTAGTTTTCTTCCATCGTGAAATTAATTTCTCTGGATAAATGGGTCATGTTAACAGGTTGCTTGGTAATAAAAACAAAATCGATCAACCATGGTGGTATTTCGTGAAAACTAAAATATAATCTTGCTAAGAATATAAATGCTTAAGTTTGGATGTTACTCAGAAAGTTGATCCCCAGAACTACTCAACAGATGACTCTGAAATTTAGTACAGATGAAGAACTAGAAAGTATGGATGGATGTGTGAAAGAGAATATGTGTACGAAGGAGGTAGATTCAGATATGACGGCTTATAGGGATGTATGTAAGAGTAGTAGATACTGTGCCGATTCTTCGAAGGTATAAGGGCAGGTTATAATGATGTAGAATAAGAATATTTGCATTATTTATAATTCAGCTCCGACGGAGTCGCTAGCAAAAATTGACTTAATAAAGTTATGTCTTCTTTGGTATCTCTAATCTTTGGAATGGAACGAAACGAACTTATTACTCTTTGATTGAATGTAGGAGAAATGTCTAATGTCGCAAATCAAAATCAACGGAAAAGTTATCGTTTTTACGTTTTTATATGGTTTTATAAGTGGCTAATATTTTCATTTATTTTTGAATGTAGAAGTTAATAGAAAAAAAATTACAAGGCTGAACAAACAGTTGCTTTTCTCTTGAGCAGGGTAGGGTAATTTAGTAGCGCCAAAGTTTTGTAAAAGTTTCGTCGTAATCTGTTTAAATGAGTAGTTTGTTGGTTTGTTGAATGTTTATCAAGATAATCTTTCTAACAGTGATAGAGCTCTTAACCTCTCGACTCGTTACCTTACCCTTACCTCTTAACTCGTTCATTGCATTGCGACGATCACAAAAAAAAAGGTGTTAATTGAAAGTCGGTTCAAATAGCTCGAGTAAGTTTGGGTGCCGAAGGCCATATTTTTGTTATCTTACTTCTCTTTGACTCGGCTTGGGAGAAAAACTCTTCAGTCTGTCCACTTACGGCAGACAACGCGTCGGCAAATTGTTGAATCTATTGGCAGCGGTTACTACGCTATTTTTGCGAAAACATGTGGGCGTTTACTTGTTTGCCTACTTATTATAATGGCAACAAAAAAAAACTAATGTGTTAGATTTTGGCAATTTATGTTATCAGTATTGCTGGATATATAAGCTTGGGGAAAGAGGAGATTTTGTGGTCGGGGCCAAGGCCCCCTCAGTCGCTGCATCACCTTAATTCGTTAGTTATTGGTATGGTTGGCACAAGCGAAATTTTTCTGTAGTTGTTCAAAAAAGTATGAATTTTATATTTCTCCGAGTTAAATATGTAAAGTAAAAAGATCATAAGGTTATAGACTGAGTGTTTTTAATTTGCATGGTTCTTTGACTTCTGTATTTTTCTGTTAACTCTCTTCATTGAGTCAAAGTCCTTAACAACAATGTGTTTCAATAGTTGTATATTGGTCTGTATTTGTTTTGTTCTCCATTAGTGTTGTTATGTAGTCAAAATTGTGGTCAAAATGATTTATGAATATAAAACTTAAGTTTAGGTGTTGTCCACATTTAAACTATTAGTGTTGTTATATTGGAGGCTCTAAGGTATTGTTTAATTATATTGACAAACTAGTGACACAATCTGACTTACAATGGTGGTCAATTTGTGGTATAAGCCTATATATGTAGTATGCATAAATGATTGTGCAGACACTTCCATCTTTACAAAAGCACAAATGGTTAACAGGAAACTACAACTGGGTGTTTGGCAAAGGTATCTTAAACATGTGGGTCACTTTGTATTCATGTAGAAAATGAAAATGTGTCAAATTTGATGCATGTCATGTGCGCTGTACACTGGTGCTGGTGTCGGAGTGGTGGAGCATTGAGTTCTTTATAATGCATTTGCTATTGCAATTATGCATGCATTCTGTATGATGCATTGTATAAGGTGGTAAATTTGGCATCAGTTTAGTAGAAGTCACCGCTCGTAATTCTCGTTTGATGTTGTGGTAGTCGCCGCATTTTGTCTGGCTTTACCTGCTGAGCTTTATTCACTTATTTCCTCTCCCGAGAAGGACATGTCCGAGATGGACACATCCTCCTCCTCTCTCTCTCCGTCTCTCTTCCTCTTCCTCTCTTTGGTTTTTATATTGGTTTTATGGAAATTCAACCGCTCTTTGCTCATTGCATTGATGCAAAGAGCGGTTGAATTCAGATGAATTTTGGAATTTATATAATAAAAGAAAATATGATGTTCTAAATACAAAAATATAAAAATTATGATTAAAAAACGTGTAAAGAGGTTCCGTATCTGTCGGCAACAATGTCGGTTCCCACGAGATAGGCCGATCTAAAGGTCTGCCTCCGGTTAATGCCCATTCTGGGGGTAAGGCTATAGCCGCACCCCACTGGGGAGGTCGCCAGGTTTTTACGACTTTTCTGTCGGGTTTTTATAGAGTTTTCCTTTCTCGAGGGCCGGCCAGTTAAGACAAGCCCTTCGCTTCTGTGGTCCCAACGTACTCCATAACGGCGGTTTGATGAAGATCGTTGACGGAACCACAGGGTTACGGGTATGCTACAGAGGTTGGCCACAGAGAACGTACATTGAAAAATGTGCATAGAGAAGGTATCAAAAAATAAAATGATATTAACCCTTTAACGGTCATAAGGAGTGGACAGTTGAAAAATAAAATTGATAATGGTTAAGGGTTAATAATAGAAGTAAAAACATATGTACATATAAATATATATATATGTATGTATGTATGTATGTATGGTAGGAAATATATTCCCTCTACCGTTTAGATTCTATTCTCAATTGTATGCTCTTTTCACGCGCCCGACTACTACTCGACTACGAGTATTACTTTAATTATATACAATAATTTATTTTTGGTTGTATTTCAAATAAAAAAAAACTTAGCAAATCAAGTTTTTATATTTATTACAAAAATAGTAGTACAAAAAAGTATTTTTTGCTTATAAGAAAAATCTAATTTTATTTTTATGAAAATCTTCTTCTTCGGCCACAGCACTGACAGTTTTTTGACGGTTTTCATTAGCATTATTCAGTGGTATTGTCTGGCTTAAAGCACCACGCTCGAATGAGCTTCAGTCGTTCTACGGCATGTAAATCGTTGTTTCTGTTACTCTCATGTGGGACTTTCGCGTCCATTGGGTTCCAAGGAAATAAGCCACATGTTTTAAATCCATTTGCCAAAATTGATTTGTTCATGGTATTACCATTACCTCGTGTTAAAAACTTAAACTTGGCAAAATCTTTTTTTCTTAATTACGTGAGGCTCGTCATTTTTTATTTTATCAACCCTCCAATTTTGTACGTGCCTCTTCCATGCTTCTTTTAGTGGCTTAAATACTGCTACATCCATGGGTTGAATTAAACGGGTTGCATTAAGATAAAGTGCTATTAACACAATTACTTTTTCTTCACAAAACTGGCTAGTGTGAAGTGATAAATGAGATATTTGCCCATCAACAAAGAGAATAACTGTTAAAGCTATTTCATGAATGAAAATGAGAATGCTTCACATATCATCCAACCTGAATCAGTTTTTCCAATACCCCAGTCAGAAGGAAAGTTACCTGCAATTTCTTGAGGTATCCTTTTATAGCTGAGTAATACCGTGGTAGGAGCTAGGGATTCTTTATAGATAGCGGATTCTTACTTTATCGGTTTATGTGCGTTAGTTGCCAACTACAGGTACATGGTCAATTACTGGTGCGTTTACCTTAGTTACCTTTGCAATGTATGCATACCGCTTTATCTGAAGAGATGTTGCAATCTTTGTAGCTGTGATTTTCAGTACAAATTGAGCATTTCACTGATTTTTTTACAGTACTTCGCTAGGTGGCCACACCTCAGACAGCTGTAGCACTACTTCACTGGTGGATTTACCACGAACCGCCAACCACAAAGATCGCCACGGGGCCCGTCGACTGCAGAAAACTACGTCCTGCGTCATTCTTACGATTTCTCATTGTCCTTTTTATTAACATAGCAAAAATAGCTTGAATTGGAAAGATTAGTGGGAACATTAGTTATCGACTCCTGTTATTTCTGTCCCAACAGCTGGGATAAAGTCCTTCATATGGTATTCATTGAGACATGCACGAATCACAGTTGAAGCAGCTAGGACAGCTGGAGCTGCAGCTGGGGTGACCGATGCAGACGGTTTAACAATCGGACCACTAGGTGCTGGTGCAGAACTGTCCAATATGGATGCCGGTTTCACCCGGTCAAGACTCACTTGGGTGTTCTTATCACCCACGCATTCGACACGAAGACGTTATGTTAACCGTGGCGAAAGGCAGATGTTGGCCTCAGTCGTGCCATCTGGAGACGGAGTTGCGTGGCGAAGTTAGAAACATCTTCGACTGTAGAAGTATCTGGAAGAAGCAAAAAATTCCCCCGGCAAGCGCAGGGGTTCCCCATATACAAGCTGGACTGGTGAGCATTCTAAATCCTCTTTTAGTGCTGCGCGCATGCCAAGCAGAACCACGGGCAGGGTCTTAAGCCAGGCGTCTTCATGACACATTAAGGAAGCTTTAAGCTGCCTGTGTATGCGTTCGACGAGATCATTAGCGCGAGATCCAATCTCTAAAGAAGGTCTCAGCGCATTCCTCCGCCGTCATATTGACCATTGGCCATGCCTCTGGCCACCGAGTAAATCTGTCGACGGCTGTCAGACAGTACTGGTAATCCTTGCTGTAAGGGACAGGGCCAACGATGTCAATGTGAACATGTGATGTGGAAACGAGTGATTTGGCTGGCATAGTTGCCGAGAGGTGTGGATGTGTGGCAGGATAGTTTTGATTTTTGGCATGCGACGCAAGCACGGGACTAGGTGTTAGGGGACAGTCCTTCTGCTTGCCAGGCCACACGAAGCGATCTGCAACCATGCGTGCTGTTGTACGGAGGAATGGATTTGGGTTTTTAAAAAAGAAAACCCTTTTCATAAACTTTTAATTGTATAGATTTAGTAAAGAGAACAAGCTTTGTTTCACACACGACGATAAGGATTTAGTACAGGAGAAGCAACCTTCCTTTTTGAAGGCTGGAGTGAGACTGCTCGCCAGTTTTAGTTATGTTTACGATGAGCTTAACCTAATGTATAGTCATCAAGATTTATGTACAGGTAGCAAATAGTTAATAGAGGGAGTATATGATGAATGTGAAATTTACATACAGCGGATAAAGCTGACACAGTGGATACAGTGGGAACTTTACATTTAGCTACATTGGTGGTGTCATTTACCTTTTTGTTAAGCCGGGGTTTTGGACTCGGGGGACACCGTCGAGAGTCCTCTATTCGTTTAAAGGGTTATTATCATCAGAATCGTTAATTTCAAGGGAATCTACTAGATGAATTGGTTGACCGCGATTTTGGAAGCTAGTTGAAGGCAATGGGCGAATCTTATTATTGCCTTTGTACTGAACATTTCCAAATCTTTTATTATTATATTCACGTTTGCGACAGAATTCAATTGTGTGTCCCAGAAATTTGCAATATCGACACACTGGAGTATCATCAAATCGTGCAGGTGCTGGGTAATCACCATTGTGATTCCTATTTGATCCATTTTGAGGGTTTCGATTTTGTGGCTGAAACGTCGTGTCGTTAAGGCATTTGGGGTCACGGCGCCGAACTACAGTGGATAATCGTGGGCTAAGCCCTGTTACAAAGGTGTGCAACGCCAAGTCTTGCATGAAGCGACACGGCCTGCCAATTCCCCTTTATTACTCGTAGGTATAGATATATTTGTTTCGGATAATCATTTGGAAAGACAAGCTTCTATCCTTAAGGCGAACTGGTGGTCTGTCTTGTTATTTAGTTTCTTAAACCTTTTGGTCGGTTTTCTTGTTCCAGTTTTTTTTCTCTTTCTTTCTATTTTCTTTTGTTCTTTTTGTTCTAATTTTTCTTTTGCAGGTGTGCTGGTTAAAATAATGGAATGTTTTTTTTTGAGTACTCGTTTTGAACGAGCAGGTTTTAGAGTTGGTACTTGTACTACATCACTAAGTTGTACTAAGGGAGACGGACAGTTTGACTTGTTATACTTTGAAGTTATATTGTATTAAAAACATTTTCATTTTCAGCATCACAAACAAATTGTGTGCCGAACACGACGGTTCGGGTGCCGCGACACAACCCTCCTGAATGACGCGTTGCAAGGGTTGGCGTAGTATTGTAACGTGTGTAGGGAAATGGCACTTACCCCCTCAGTGTCCGTTCACCGCCTGCAGGTGCCTAGACACTCTGTCGGTGTCAGTCGAATGAAATAAGTCTCTGTCATACAGTCTAAAGGCGCCAGCAATGCTGCACTCCTGATGCACCCGATGCACCGCTTCCCGTAAGCGCGCTATAGACGCGTCTCGATCGGACCGAACTGTTTATTTTAAAAATCCCTTTTTTTTTTAAAAAAGATATTTTATTAGCTAAAAGGAATATAGTTATAATTAACACTGACACTTAAGTTCTTAAAGATTTGGCGTGTGTCCGGACTTGAAATTATATGGATCCGCGACGTGTGAGTGCTGGTGCAAGACTGACTCGTCGCCAGTCATGGGAAACAAATTCTCTGAGCGGATGTCAATAGGAGATAGAGTTACAGTGTTTGATCAGCGGGATTACTACTTGCGTCATTATATCCTTATACTGTTTACAGGTATAACAGAACCCGGAACCGTAAACTTAGCGACTCGGTACGCTAGATAAACCGATATTAGTTCCTACGACTTCCGATGCTGAAACTCAACTCTTCTCACTGGTGTCGACTCACTCTCTTCCCCGTACCCCCCGCAGGCCCCGCGGCCAGCCGTAGCGGTGGGGGATTCCGAAACTACGCGCTTGTGCGGGAGAATAAAAGTGAGCCGATTTTGGTATAAACCGACAACTTTAAATTTTCATTAATATGACGACAGTATAAAGCTACACTAACTGTACCGAACAAATTGAAATACATCCTTGGACTCACTTTGGCTTGAATTATTATTTGTTTGTATCGGTTGTTCATGAAAAGAGACTGGTGCTAAAATATCACCAAAACTCTCAAAAGTGTTTTGAATTTATTTTGATCCATTGGACAAATTTCAGCAGATTTAAAGCCATTAATAGCTTTGTCAGTATTTGTGGTTCTATTGAAAGCCGTTGTGTAAAGGCCTACTACGTCATAAGCCGTAATTTTGGTGCCTGGATGGTTAACCGTGAAGTATTCACATTCTCTGTAGTATGCTGTTTTTAATGGGCCATGGAAAGTTAAATCTAAAGGCTGCATTCTGTGGGATGTATGAGGTGGCAAAGTTAAAACATGAATAAAGTTCTTGCGACAAAATTCGTAAGTTCTCAAACTAATATGGCTTTCGTGGTTGTCCAATATTTGTAAAATAGGATCATCTGTTGATGGTTTTGCATATTCTTTGAAATGTTGAAGCCAATCTACGAAAATGGATTCAGTTATCCAACCTGTGTGAGAAACACAAGCCACGATATTACTATTGCTGTCTTTCATAAGCAGTGCATTCATTCGCTTTCTGTTGAATATGAAAAATGGGGGAATGTAAGTGCCTCCAGCATTGAAATAATTTACAACTGTGTTCATGGAAGCACGTTCTGCGCTGGTACATTTACCTACTTGATTTAAGCCTTTCGGTGCGAGAATCCTGGAGTTTCGTTGTACAGTGCTAATCCCCGTTTCATCAACATTGTAGATTGAATACGACTTAAACTGGTATTCTATCATCAGTGTTTTTAAATTGTGAAAAAATATTTTTGTTTCTTCTTGATTAAATGCTGTGATCCCAATAATTGAAGAAGCTTCTGGTCTTCGAAGGGATATATTGAGGTGTGTAGCCATAAAATTATAATACCAATCTATTTCTGCCATTTTAGTATATTTGTTAAAATCATTTGCTATGTTATTCGCAGCAGCAAAATCAAATGCAAATTTTCTGAGAGTACGTATTGTTATCCCAAAAAAGGCTTTGCAAGATTTTAAAATGTATTTCACCGGTTCGTTTTCCTGACATTCATTAAAAATTGACTTCTTGCCTCTTTTTGGCATGGCACTAACACAAACTTTTTTTGCTTGATCGAAGAGGGTTGCTCTGGGAATGCCATACTTTTCGGCTGCCAGTCAATAAGAAATCTTTTCTTTCTCGTACAGCTATTTTTAAAGTTTCAATGGTATAAGATGCTTCTTTTTTCTTAATATATTTACGATGCTTCTGTTGTTGACCCAAACGAGTTCGAAAAACAAAAACAACTAAATTTTTAGGTTAATTAAATTTATCAAAACAAACTGTTGTTTTATATATTCGTCATTAACATCGCAATCAATAGAAAATATTCCTTTTTTACAACACTCCAAATAATGAATATTAAAAATTATACAAATAAAAGTATAAAAATAACAAAAAATGTTAATTTTAAATTACCTTGAAACGTGTGCGCAGCCGCCTGTCGGGAATGTTTGGTGGGCACTAAAGATGGCGGAAAGTAACGCGTGATGGTGTCTCCGGGACGCAGGCAGCAGGGATAGAATAGATAAATGTAAGTCCGTATTTACCCCGCGTCCGGAATTCCCCCATCGTCCCATGCAATTTCGGCATGCCCCCTCAGCTGGCTTAATATGTATTTAAATAAAATATTTTGTTGTGACGTTGATGCTAGATTAATCGCATTTCTGCAATTTGACAAAAACGGATTTAATTGTTCGCGGTTACCGTCGAACTTATCAATGAATTTAATTAGTATATTTAAATCGACTTCACTATTAGACTCGTCCTTAGGCATTTTGTAGTGAGTGATTCGCAGAAAGGTGAGCGACTCGGCGAGGAATGGAATGCAGTCGGAGTGATAAGGAGTGACGTAACACTACTCTCTGATTGAATTAGAACAATCAACTATGAATATGAATGTTAACTTAGAGTCTATATATACATATTTATGTATTTTCCACTTGGGAGTTTCGTTTTCACTTCACTGGTAAATACGTGCAGAATGTTTCAACACTTACAGGAACACGGCGATTGTAATGCGTGACCTCATAGTGTAAGCTTCAAACTCGATTGGGACTCGATGTATTATCGATATTATGTCGATCCGGTGTTAACTGGTTATCAATAAAGCACTATTCTACACGCACTTATTATTTGCACAAACTTACTGCTTACTTTTATATCGGTTTTATACCAAACTGTCACTTATTTGCACAGAGGCGGATCAGGGACTTTTCTTAATAAGTTTTCGCTGCCACCATTTGTTGTACGTAGGAATAGATTTGGGTTTTTACAAAAGAAAACCCTTTTCACAAACTTTTAATTGTATAGATTTAGTAAAGTTTTTTTTCACACACGACCATAAGGAATTAGTACAGGAGAAGCAACCTTCCCTTTTGAAGGCTGGAGTGAGACTGCTCGCCAGTTTTAGTTATGATTACGATGAGCTTAACCTAATGTGCAGTCATCAAGATTTATGTACAGGTAGCAAATAGTTAATAGAGGGAGTGTATATAACAGTCCGCGCGCCAGGATGGTTGAGATTATGGATTTGGCAGTAATAAGAACGTCGGAAAGATTGATGTAGATATGGGCGGGGCTTACCTGTAGACACGTCGCAGTAAATTTCGAAATCTAAACCTGGGACTATGACTTTCTGCAACTTAAGATTAAAGTTGGTCAGCACGCTGCGGAGTTTCTCGTCAGCCGTCTGTTCCTCGGCAAGGCCAGCATAGGTACTAAGCAGATGAACAGCCTCTACTCGCGACAAGGCGTCAGCGACGACGTTCTCCTTTCCGTTGACGTGGACGATTTCTGTAGAAAACTATGAGATAAATGAAAGTTGGATGAGTTGAACCGGTGGCAATTTCTCTCGTTTCGAGATAATGCGTACGTGAGCGGCTTATGGTCTGTGAATATGACGACATGCTGGGCCTCCATAATATGATGGAAATGATGCACAGCGTCGTAAATAGCAAGCAGTTCCCTGTATTAAGCTGGCCAAATGCTTTGTCGAGCAGAAAGGTTTTTCTAAAGAATGCGAGGGGTTGCCATGAGTTGTCGACGAGCTGTTGTAAACATGCGCCAACGTTTGGACCTTTAATTTCTCTTCCATTCAAACCTGTATATATAGTTGTGTGTATATAGCTCAGTTATAAATAGCATATTTTTGTTTTATTTTTGTATACTTACTACACTTACTATTTGTTCAGATATTTTTTTTGTTTTGCGAGGATTTATTCACAATTTCCTGTAATACTAAATTGAAGGCTTTTTTATGTAGCGTATTTTTTTTCCTGACGACATTTTTTTTTAATTTCCTTTATGACCTGGTAACATAGACCTTTAGGTCATATCTTATTTGGAATATGTTCATTATTTTGGATTCCTACTTTTTTTTGAAAATGTTCTGATTGCGATAATTTCATATATTGACGATAGCAGATACAATACTTCATTAAATATATTCGCTGGTATAAATCTAGTAATGGCAGTTATTTTTTCAATTTGAGCAGCGAGTATGAAAGCTTTCATTTGATATTTGTTTAAAAATGATGAATTAGTAATAAAGTTATTTGTTGTATTATATTGTTTCAAATTGACTGCTATTTTGTTGGCATTCGAGCGTTGAATTAATAATAATAATAAATCTTTTTATTCAGACTCATGGTCCATACAAAGCAAAAAAATCAAATTTAAAATTCAGACACAAAAATAAAAACACAAAAACATAAAATAAAACAAAACTCTTCAGATCACATGCAGACGTGTCCACATGGCCAGCACTGGACAGTCCAATCCTACTCTATCGGCAATGAGTTGTAGGTAGCTGTTGGCGCTGTCCCGCACCCGCCGCATCAGGGATGCTGCTCTCTTCCTGATCAATGCGGCGAAGCCGTCAACACCAGCATCAGCAAACATCCCAGACGCGCTACAGAAGCGCGGCAGCCCCAACAGGGCCCTAAACCCATTGTTGTATTGAACCCGCAAGGCATTGTAATCCCTTTGCGAACGTTTGACCCATAGGCTGCACGTATAAAGGGACTGACAGTAAGCTTTAAAAAGTGTAATTTTCACGGGTTTGGTACATTGTGCGAACCTTCGAGCCAACATGTTCGCTCTGACTGACAATGCCCTGCGTTCTCTTTCTATATATAAGTCATCATTAAGTGTAACCGTGACCCAGTGCCCCAAGTACTTCACTTTCTCCACTCTCTTGAGAGGATGGTTGTTCAATATGACTGGTGGTATGTCATATGTCTTCGAGCCTGCTTTGAAGATCATCACTTCACTCTTAGTAGAATTGTACTTGAGACCCTGGGCCTCGGCGTAGCACTCGCAGATGGAGATCAATTTACGAAGACCGCTCAACGATGGGCTCAGCAGTACCATATCATCGGCGTAGCTTATATTATTTATCATGGTGCCATCTAAGGAACAGCCTATACCAGTACCGCTGAGCTCACGGATTAGTCCATCCATATAAAGGTTGAAAAGTCTGGGTGATGTCAGCCCCCCTTGCCTCACCCCCCAGCTCAGTTTATGCTCATCCGATACCGCCTCATCCCACTTAACATAATTGGTTTGATTAGACTTCTATTCTTCATTGGTAGGCAGAAGTGAGCCCGCGTTTTCAAAAATATTATTATCAATTTTTTGATTCATACACGTGCCGTGGCCCATTTCGAGGCCTCGCTCCTGCTCGGGCGCAGGTGCGGTTTCGGCGTTCGAAACCCCGGTCTCTTTAGAGGCCTCCACACGCCACTTAGCGCTCGCGTCCTTTGACGACGGTGTAAGCGATACAGGTAGTACTGTGTCCTGCGAGTGCGACAAGGATAGCTTTATAGTTTCAACAAACGACAAACACTCATTCAAATTATTATTAATCGTTATGTGCTCAGGTCGGCGATTTTATTTTCTAATACTGGTTTAATATTTTTTAAATGACTTTTGGGTTGCGTATTGACGAATATCTGGTTATTTTTATTACAAACACGGTCGGAAACAGAATTCAGCTCTTTCTTAACCTCATTGAACTGCTCTCTGGATATATAGAATTCTTTAATCATCTTCAAGTCAGAATTGCCGTCACACCTTTAATTTCGTTTGCAAATATATGGTTCAAATATGTTGGGCTCTTGTTTGCCAGTCTATCTCTATTAGTGGCTTCCACAAATACTTTGAATTCAGTATTTACCGAGTTCTCAGGATATAGTCTTTTGTAGTTAGGTTTTAGAAAAGGTAGATAAGAGTCATTACGCTCACCGCCACTACCAACTTCAATGTCCATCTTGGCATCACCACCACGATTCTTAACGCGAATACGTTTAGATGATGAGGTGGGAGGGTTATCCCCTCCCCCCTCGTTACCCTCCTTTTCAAAGGGTCACTACTTCAAAATAACTTAAATTATTCAACAATTTGAAATTAGAAACAATGAGGTGTGGAGTGCGGGGAGGAGCGAAATAGCGAACACGTTTGCTTTGGATAACGCTCTGATTTAATGTGTCTTAAAACTAACACTAGCTTACATACTTAAAGAAATATGACGTTCCTCCACCTCATCTCCGGGGAAAAGAAAAAAAATTATTAAGTAATGATGTGGTTTGGACGACTCGTAAATGGTGATCTGAGGTTTTATAGACGTCTACGCAATTTATGTCAATAGTATGAACTTAATTATTTGTTCACACTCCTACGAAACTGTGTTCGGTATTTGGACGACCCAATCCAACAACCAACCAAACGAAACGACCGAACACTACAAAACACAAGCGACCTCAAGAACACAAAGAAAACCACCGAAAAAGACACCGAAGAAATCGCGACATGCAAGGAGTATATGTATAGCAAGAAAAACACATCAATATCGTTATTTAATAAACATACAGCGCCATCTGTTGTGTAGTAGTGGAAACGGCGCCAACATTATTAATTATACATTTTTTTGTACTCCTTTTCATCTTCTGGTAAACGTAAACCGTCCGATTCCTTGCCACAGTAGATATAAGCATTATACTCGTAGACATAAAATGTCTCAGCATCACAAACTAACAACATTTTAAGTCTGTATTTTGCTGTTTTTTTGGTCATATAAATTATGAACTTTCATCGGCCTCTAAAGGGAACAAGCATTTCATCTATGCATAAGTAAGCACCGGGTATATAAATTTTTTTGCAATTAGACATAAAATTTTCAAATATATCCGAAATTGCTGCCAGTTTGTCAGTCTGTAGTCGTTGCTGTCTGGTTTCTACATCGTCAAAGCGAATGCAGTTCAAAAGTGTAAGAAATCTATAAGGTAAACTATCCAGTAGATGACACCTTAAGGGTTTATTAGTGTGTCTATAGACATAGTTTGGTATGAAATCATCTTACAGGGAGTTTCTACTTGGTAATAGTTGCGCAAATTATTACACTTTCAGAATATGACAAGAATTGTATAAATGAAAGTGATGCGTATTTTTTAATAAAATGAAGGTAAACATATCTGTATATATATCTAAACAAATGGTGAGTGTTCATTAACTATTTATTGAATAGTTACTGTTCACCACAAGATTGACTAACCTGGAGTTCCCACTGTTTTCGAATCTCAACCTCCAACTTGGAGCTAATCAAATAAATAACTAGTAGAATAAGTTAATCTTAAGTACCGATGTATGTAGGTCTGATAACATTGATATTGTCTTGTAATACAAAGCATATTTGTGTCCTCATGTTTTCCTTAGAGATAAGTTAGTTGAAATCTTCAGTTTGTTTGTAACCTTCTTACAGTATAGTTGTCTGATAAAATAAATAAAATATATTTTTTAAAAGCTCCTTTCCTGGCTGCACGACATAATTCTATCCAAAATAGAATTGAAATATAAATCTGCACCTATCAATATGGAGATTTCTGAAGGAATATTAAAGCTTACATCTGAAAGATTGAGATCTTTTGGAATATTTAAATGAGAAATGTCAACATAATGCTGAGGCAAAGTTGTTGTAACACTATCCACTACATGACAGGTCACATCAAACTTTAACTCATAAGCACATGAATGAATTGAAATTTTTACAGTTTTATTTAAATAAGACATATTATTGGCAATATCTATTATTTTAGTTGTCTTGTCTGTATTGACTTTCAGCCCTAGTTTGTCAATGAGAGACTGCTTGATAAAAGAACCTTGACCGCCACCGTCAAGAAGTGCTTTAACACATTCCACACGACCATATTTATCACTATTTAGCACTATATTTTTCGTGACTTCATTTGAGGATAACGAAACCTCCTTATTTTTGGTCATCTTCATGTAGAAGTGAGTTGTGATCCCTCTGACAGAACCTGCATTTAAAGTTATATTTGCACTTATCTGTGTGAGAATTTAAACAGACATAACAGCGGTTTGTATCCTTAATGTATTGAATACAACCTTGCACAGAGGCTAATTTAAATTTAGGACACATGAAAATAGCATGTTTTTGCTTTTCACAAAAGGCGCATAAACCCTTATCTTTACTGTTAGAAGCGACATGTGTGACCCTAACATTTGTGGTATGTTTGGATTTTTTTTTACTTACTTACTTTTAAAACTTTCATAGGAGGTATTCCCTGATGGAGAGCTGTCCTCTAAGGATACAGCGCGATGTTCTAAAAATTAAATGAATTCCCACATAGTTGGAATCTTATCAAGGTCCACCCTATCAAGATGGTAGGCCCTGCTTGTATATGGATCAAGTTTTTTTAGAAAGAATAAAAATTAGCATCATATCCCAACATCATAACCACATCAAAATATTTATTTTCGACAGCCGAAATATCTTCATTATCTGAAGAGTCTAAAGACATAATATCTAATTGGACCTGTTCGTAATCTTCAAATGTACTCACAAGTTTTTCTTTACGTGCCTGTAATAAGTCTATACCGGCGGAAGCTAAGTTTATAGGATCGCTAACGTAATTTTGGATCCTCGTTATTACGGCCTTGAGACTACCTCTTTTAGTACGCAATTTTTTCAGGTCCTCAATAGACATTTTACACTCTTTAATGTTCACTAAACACCACAAAATAATTCATTATTTATTGTTTAAACTCGAAGATATACGCCGCGCCACGAATGTAAACAAACCGAGCGAGATGTCATCCGTCACTTTGACAGCTCCTGTCATTACCGTCCACCGAGTTGACACTGTCGAATGATTCGTCGAACTAAGTAATAAAAAATAAACAGAGATTGTATACAATTTTCTTACAAGTAATTTAAATTTCAACACAGGTACTTTTCCCCGAAATGATGCCTCCTAAGCTCATTATTTTTCCTCGTTAAGGAATCTATAGGTTACACATCTATGGAGAATAGTAATAACAAAAGAGTTAAAATGCGGAATCTTTAGGTTCATGATAATTTTATGAATTTATTTGAGAAGTAAAACTTAAATATTGTATTCTATTTTTACAGTACATAATATTTAACATGACTTGTACATTTGCAATGTTTTGATAGGAAAAGTTTGGATTAGGGGACTATTTGGAGCATCGGCAGTGCAGTTGGCGCTTGACCGGATCATATTTTACATATCCAGGTGCGATCTCCGCTATATAGTAATGAGTTCTTCGAATTTCATGATAACATCCATCCGACATTCTTACTGTAATTACAAATTGCATACAACTGCATAGAAATTCAAAGATATGTGTGAAGTCAACCAACCCTCACTGGCTCTGCATTGTTGAATAAGACCTAGTCGCATTCTTGAGGGTAGGCTCCGAGCTCCTCAGTGGAGTATAGTGTGTCCGTATAGTGAGCTTGATGATGACGATTTGTTTTGCTTCAATGCATATTGTCTTGTTAGCAATTTTCTAAATGTTTTACCAACAGATAGGAGCTAATCTCTTTCCAGTGTTATTCTATTTCTCCCGACGAGAGTGGCACTACTACTCCAGTTCTATCAGAAAATATGATCTATCAAATAAACAAACTGGAACAAATAAGCATTTATCCCGTCTCTTATTTTATATACTCTTTGGCGGGCGGCCCGGCGTCACCATAGATTATGGAACCCACTTCACTATGGTTTATACGCCTACCCGCCGATATGACAAAAATGGCGAGTGGGTTTGAATGTAAAATCACCCACAAATTAAAATATAAAAATACTTCACCAATTTATAGAATTGGTTTTCTTTCCAACGATATTGGACCGTAGATTACAGGCGTTGTTGTATCGGGAGATATATGGAAATAAAACTACATCTTAGGAATGCATAATGACAACTAGCTTTATCCATCGACATTCTGACAAGAAGTTGGCCGTGTGGTCACCGAGACAGAGGGGGCACGCGGGCTTGCCGAAGGCGGCCAGAAGTGCTTTGTCCTTTGGCCTAGGACAGTCGATGGTTCCGTAATCACCTAGGCACTTGACGCACCTAGGACGGCGGTAGCAATTGCGGGCTGAATGCCCATACAATTGGCACTTATGGCATTGGCCAGGAATGACGCTTTTACGGGGCGGCTCTACGATTAGGCCTCTAAGGCCGCATATCGACTTTGTCAAAGATCAATTTACCCTCGGGGGTGAGTTCCAATTGAACTTTGACCATATCTAGGGGGGACTTGGTGCGCCTGGTTTTCAACCGATGGACTGCAAACACGGGGATATTCTGTTCTTTGAGGGACTGTAACACCTCTTCTACGGGGATTGCCTTCGGGATCTTCTTGACGATCGCCTGAAGGATGCGCTCGTCTGCGCGCGTATAAGTGTGAAAGTATGTGTCTTTTTCGCGAAGGAATTTTGTCACATTGCGAAAAGCATCTGTCGAATCTAGCTGGAGTTTAATACCCTGTTGGGTAGGCGTTACTACGCACTCTATTTTATTGGAAAGTGCCGATTTGATCATCGGCCACTTGTCCTTGGCTTGGATGTATGTAAATTGGGGGAGGTTTTTTGCTATGTAGCGCACGGACTACGGGGAGGGCAGGACGAGCAAATGGAGACTGGGGTGAGGAGGTGAAGGGATCAGTTTTGGGAGGCTCGACAGGAGTAGCGATCGGAGCTGACTGGGAAGATTCGAGTGGGGAATGAGGGCGCAGCGTCTTCTGAGGCACGGGGGATGAGGATGATGATGACGGTGCTGACGAAGAAGCGGGGGAAGAGCGCTTCTTGCGCTTTTTATTATTACAGACTTCCGTAAATAAGCCGCCTGCATCTTCAGGATTTTCAGGGGACATAGGGGAGTCTAGTTCCATATCCTCCACGTCGCTAGACGGCAGTGACACATCGCCGGTGCTTGATCCGGATTTAGAATGCTCTGCGGGGGCTCCGGATTCTACGTCTAATAATGAGGCATTAAGTGCCTTGAAAGCGTCCGGGAATTTATATTTAAGAAAGTCAAGGACAGCTTTTAAGCTTGAGTCTGCCATTTGGACTTATGGTGGACCGTACCTAGTCACTTTGTAGTGTCCCGGTGGGATGCCGGGGTGTATATCCCTAGCTCCCCTCCCTGCTGGGTTAAGCAGGGAGGATGTGTGCCTACTACGTGTAGCCCTAGTGCGTCCGAGTGCCGATCTTATTGTGCACTCGGGTATGTACTTAAGTCTAACTAAAGCTACCCGTGGGCTCTAAAAGGCCAAGCGAGGACCAACGTTGACTAGGGCACTACCCAAGGCCAGTGGTGGAGGTCCCTCCTGAAGGGGAAACGCAGGCGAACGGGGCTGCCTGACTAGCTTCGTTATCACCGTTAGGTATCCGCTAGCCTTTTAAAATTGCGCTGTTAAGAAGTTGCTCCGCGCAGTGAAAACTGCACTTCACAATTTCTTTCACAATAAATTTGTCGACTTGTGTTAGGAAGAGTTACTTTTTTGATTAACAGATGTTTTTGCTTCTCTAATTCCTGTATAACGCTATCTTTATCTTGCGCGTCGGCCAGTTGTTCGTAGTCGAGAGTGGTGGGGCAAGCGATCGCGTCGACTCGTGATAACGCGTCCGCGACGACGTTATCAACTCCATTGATGTGACGAATGTCCGTCGTAAACTCGCTAATGAATAGGATTTGACGCGTCCTTCTCGGTGTCTCGTTGCTTCCGTTGAGCTTGGTAAATGCGTAAGTTAGAGGTTTATGATCAGTATATATAATCAAGATGTCGGCCTTCAAATATCTTGCGGAAATGTTTCACAGCCATGTAAATCGCTAGTAATTCGCGATCATACGCGCTGTATTTTAGTTGTGCGTCCGAAAATTTCTTCGAAAAATATCCCAAAGGCTGCCAGGCGTTGTTTACGCATTGCTGTAGTACTGCGCCAGCACAAAAGTTCGAAGCGTCGCACATGAGTGCAAGCGGGACGGAATGATATGGATGCGCTAATGTTGTGGCATCTTGTATGCTCTTCTTGCATTTTTGAAACGCTTGTATAGCTTCTACCGTCCATATTATTTTTGTTTTGTCCCTTTTTTACTGTTGTGTAAGTATGTGTATGGACGCGGCGTTCGGTATGTTATCTCGGTAATAGTTAATCGTACCGAGAAAACTTCGAAGTTCTTCGATAGTTGTAGGATTCGGATAGTCGACTATTGCTTTGATCTTGTCCTCAGGTGGTTTGTTTCCGTTTGCCGATACAGTATAGCCAAGAAATTTAACTTAGGACTTGCCGAATATGCACTTCGATGGGTTTATAGTTAGCTACAACAATATTCGACACCCAGTCGGTAGGTTCGTCCACCCTTTCTATTATATTTGCAGCTACGAGACGATTCAGTTCCTCCTGCAATTTTGGTCTTAATTTAATTGGAATTTTTCTAGAACAACTAACAACGGGAGGTACTGATTTGTCAACAGTTATTTTATGTAATCCTGGCAGACGGCCTATGCTGATGCAAAACTGACTCACTTGTAGACTTAGATGAGACGCATGCCTGTCCACGAAAATAATGACCGGTAAAGGAATACTTTCTTTCTTCAGAAATGGATGAAAAATGTCGTCAATAAATTCGAAGAACGCCTCGCAAGTCATCCAACCAGAATCTGTTTTTTCCAGACCCCATTCTGGAGGAAAATTCTGCGCAATTTCTTGTGGGATTCTTTTATATTTAAATAAAATTGTTGGAGGAGGTATGGCACCAGATGCGCTACCTGTGATAAGGACGGTTAGGCATTCTTTTTCATCTGGATTAAAGATCCTTCTAGGATCTTGTAAAACGTCTTTTTGTTGAGTCTGATCCAAAAATGTCTCTACTTCTTTAAACCAATTAAAAATTAGCTCCTTGGATATAACAGCTCTCGATCTTGTAAGGTATTGAGACATACAAACACTTATTCCAGGATTCCTCTTCATGAATCCTTTTGTAGGGAATGTAGTTGGCCTAACGAATTACGAAGTGAAAAGAAAACTCCCGTTAGAATTTAACACAGGTAGTTATATTCTCGCTACACACAATATAATACAATCGCTATAATATCACAATACGAAGGTGCGGGCGGAGTAAGTGTTGAGATCGCGAAGTGACACGTAAGAAAATCGGCAGCGCGAGCGGCGTGCGTCCGGCGTGTAGATGTTTGGGCGTCTGTCGCGGCGTCCCGCAGCGCTCTCGGGCTCCGCCCGAGCCATGGCGACTGCGGCGCGAGTGGGAGTGCGCGGCGCGGGCGCACAGGGCCAGCGCCAGGAAAGCAGGGCCGAACTGCAGCTGAGGTGCATAGTGGTAGACACCACACTTTCATCCACGATTTTCCTGGGCAATTGTCTTTAAACGGGTTCGGCCTTTTTAATTCTGTTAATAGACGCTGCACACTAAAGTCGGGAAAGTCGCCACATTTTTATTTAAAAACACAATGTAATTACCACATGGTTCTTGGAAATCTTCTCAGAAGAAAACATCAGCTTTCTAACTCAAAATTATAATACACTTCATACCACAATTCATACTGAAACTACAATATTCTTACCAAATAAGGTTAGATTTAAAATATAATAATATCATAAAAAATTTCGTTTGTTATATGAAAGAATGAAAGTTTAATGGCGGACGGCAGAGGACATCGTTGTCGGGTGGGGTTTCATGATGAATACAAATAAATTGTAAATTTTAAATTACATACTTAAATAAACTAGTTTAAATTGTTGTTTATTTATAATCCAAACTTTAAATGTAAAGAAATCTTAAATTTTTAAATTACAATTTATTCATATGCACTATGGTTTTTTTTTAAAAAACAGCCCAAAAATTATAGAGAAACTTATGAGTGAGATAGATACACAATTTTCAAGATGGAGGATCTCCGTTTGCGTTCAATTTGTAGCACAGATTATATAAGTTTCGCTTGCCTGTTTGCCACGGCCAAATTGACAGGCGAACGCGACTGGCCTACAGAGTGTAGTCTATGATTTTTCCGCAAACTGGCATAAACAATTCTTGACTTTGACAATTGACCTTTGACATTTAATAACGTCGAATGGTGAAACGAAACTTCGAGTTCTGCTTTCGTTCGGCCAAAAATACTTGTTTAGCTGTCATACTGCATGTGAATTCAGTTTCGTTGCGTTTGTAAAATTAACTACCCTTTTTATTACCATATTGCCACGTGAAGGTATTTCGTGCTGTAAAATTGTCGTGAAATACTAGCGATTTGAAATCTGAAACATTTATGTGCATAAGGAATGGTTGTTTTGTCTTAAAATGAGGTACAGTGAAAGATTTTATGAACCCGCACGTGGAAATAAGTAACATAATAGAATTGAAATATGTTTGACTAAAATAATCGCATGTTAAAATCAATATATATAATCTCCAAGTGTGTCTAATATTTTTTCAATTACCAGTACCACAAACTTGTACAGTGCAATGAAATAGTTGCCATCGAAACGCATATGTTATTACGTTATATTGAAAATGTTCATCTCTAATCTATGTTATCTATAGAGGACATTTTGTATTGCAGGGAGAATTCTCACCAAAATTAAGTGATGGGAGATAAGCAGTAACTCACAAAGTCCACAATGCCAACTGCCACAGAGTTACACTCTACTGATATAGAGAAGTGTTCTCAAGAGACTGCCCTTACCAAAGGCAGTGAAGAGGGTAAACAGGCCATCACAACGGAGAGGCAGACTAAGCTGAGCCAGAGTATATCTGATTGTGAGGACACCCTGTCTAGTATGAAAGACATTAATCTCAATGATACACCAGGTTTGTTAGTTTTGCCTTTACATAAATTACTTACAAAGGCCAGCAACGCATCTACGGTTCCTCTAGTATTGCTGATGTCCATGGGCACCGTTGAACACCTTGGTGTTTCCGCTGCTTGTTTGCCCCCTTCTGTTATAAAAAAATTGATTATAATGTGTGTGAGTATGTCTCACTTTGAATGATTTATAATTTTTAAGCTTAAGTTTTTAAAACATAATTTTATTTGCCTAAATTGTAAAAGAATGTTTATTGGATGGATTTTTAAATATCTTGTAAATACATTGAATTTGAACTTGAAGCTTTAAGATATGTAAAATATATGATTTTAATAGATTACCAACAATATCATCAACCCATTCATTTGTCTCTGAGTGGGAATGAATCTGAGGACTGCTTGGATCAGAACCAAGACATGTCATCAGCAGATGAGGACTCCAAGGTGCCTCGGCCTGAGGATATCAATATGAAGTCGGCTCCAATGATACCAAAGCTGAAATACAAATATGACAATGGTAAGTCAGTTAAAAAATCTGTGCAAGCACTGGTTATGAATTTAAAAAAAATCCTCTAGTGTTGCAGATGTCTATGGATGTTGATATTCTCTTTGGTATTCCCACCGCTTTTTAACCCTCTTAAAAAACAGATATGTTTTCAAGGAGAGCTGCAACTATTTAATTTTAAAGTTTCCTCTATATTTTTTTTTGTTAATGCAATATGTGATAAAGTTGTTAACTACAGACAACATGTTTGTCTATTTGTGAGGGATCTGTATTGGAACATAGTTTCCACTAAGATTGTGTTGTAACAGTCTCTTGTCTTTTAGATCAATGGTCACCTCTAAACCAGTCGGGCAGAAAGTGCTACGACATCAGGCTGCTGATGCAAATTAAAGATGATCCTCTCTCAAAGACAAAACCCATCGGAGTGCATCTGGAACTGAGTAGCATTGTCAAGGTGAGATAAATAATAAATTATACACTATAGTGAGAAACACATCAGTGAGTTTGCTTGGACCCCTTGAAGTCCACGGGAGACCCTGTACATGTATACATGTGTACATCTTTGTGGGTACATCTTACTAAAATTATAAATGCAAATGTTTAGATGGATGAAAGGATGTTTGTTTGAAGGTATCTTAGGATCTTGATGTAATTTACTTTTATAACTGTGGTGACATTATGTTTATATGGGGATGATGTTATGCATTATGAACTAAGTTAATTAAGAAGATAAGGCCTTTTATCATATAAGTTTTTTTAATATTATTTCCAGCAATATCAAGAACCTCAGCCGTTCAATCCAGTGCTGAGACCTATCAATGACTCTCTGTTCCCCAACTTTGCAAAGAACATCAGCATTGCCCCGAGGAACACAACACCGAGGGATCCCAAGAAAGATAACAGAAACATAAATACAAGCAGTAAGTATAATTATTTATGTACTTTTTGTTTTAGTAAAGAAATATTGTTAAGCAGAATTGTGTTTTGATAAATACCTCATTAGTATTGTGTTGTAGTGTTTTGTTGAATAGAAGTAATTATATTATTTGATTGTATGCAGGCAGGGAGGTGAGTGTGAAGATGACGTCATCCCCCGGCCGACCCGCTGCCCCCGCCCCAGCCCCCGCCCCCGCCCCCGCCCGGGAGCCTGTGATCCGCGTGTCTCTGGCGCGGGAGGAGGTGCAGCTGAGCCAGACCAAGAACGCCTGGAAGCCCTCGCGTCTGAAGAACGCCGCCCTCAGCGAGGAGGAGCGCAAGACCCAGGTACCTCCCCCTCCCTCAGTCACACCTTTGTCTTATGTCATTCGAGGCGGAGGAGATGGAGAGATAGAATGTGTGCATGTGCAGGAGCTGTACGCGACTTTCCGCGGCATCCTGAACAAGCTGACGCCGCAGAAGTTCGACACTTTGGTGGGCAAAGTGCGCGCGCTGCAGATAGACACGCGCGCAACACTCGCCGGCGTCATCGACCTCGTGTTCGACAAGGCGGTGGACGAGCCCGACTTCGCCGAGACATACGCCAACCTCTGCCACTGCCTCGCCGCCCTCAAGGTACACCCACCTCCCCCCCTCCCCCTCTCTCACACACTAATACATGTCACGTGCAGGTGCCGTCAGACTCGGGCTCCCCGGACCAGTACGTCAACTTCCGTCTGCTCATCATCAGCAAGTGCCAGAAGCAGTTCGTCACCGACAAGGTGGACGACAACGTGCTGCGGATTGAGGGAGAACTCAACGACTGCACCGACACTGTCAGTTACTATCTATATACAAATATAATTATATTTAGAAAGGTTTTTCTATAATTATACATTTATTGTTGCAGATGAAAAAGAAGGAACTGCAATTGCTTTTAGATGAAGAGAATAGAAAAGTGCGGATGAGGTCCGTTGGGAATGTCAGATTTATTGGTAAGTCAATATACAAGTAGGAAAGAGAAGAAATATGTCATCATACAAGTGTGTCAACAGTGGAAACTCACATTTGTTTTGCAATTTGCAGGTGAGCTGTACAAGCTGAAGATGCTGACTGCAAAGATAATGGTGTTCTGCATGAATTACCTGCTCGACAAGCAGGAGGAGGAGAAGCTCGAGTGTCTCTGCAAGCTGCTCACAACCATCGGGGAGCAGGTCATCACCTCTCATAACATGTCACTACATGTCATCTGAATATGTCACTTAATATATTGTATTGCAGGTGGAGAGCGAGGTGAAGGAGCCTCTGGACGCGGTGTTCAAACGTATGCAGAACATAGTGGACCGGCGCGGCGGTGGTGGAGCTGGTGGAGGAGCTGGTGGTGGTGGAGGCGGGGGCGCGCTGAGCAGCCGTGTGCGCTTCATGCTGCAGGATGTGATCGCGCTGCGCCGCCGCCGCTGGGCACCGCGCGCCGCCGTGCACCACGCACAGCCCACCACCATGGACCGCATACAGCGCGAGGCCGACCTGCATCACAGGAACATCGAGGTGACACCTCCCCCCACACACACACACCTCACTGACAACTTCCTCCCCCACACATGTTGCAATGCAACTAATGCTTATTTTATGTAAATGTATTTCCAGCTGATGAACTCCATGCCGCTGTCGGGGGGCTACGGGCGACGCGAGGAGGAGGGCGGGGCGCGGCGAGGTGCGCGGGGGGAGGGACGCGGGGAGCGGCGCGGTGCGGGGGCAGCGGGGGGCGACGGGGAGTGGAAGTCGCCCCGCCCCTACACAGTCGACGTGTCCAAGATCAAGGCCGGCTCG